CTGGGTATCTGGGAGGAGGGGCAGCGGGTGGAGCAGCCCCAAGGCAGCCTCTGTCCTGCTGAGCTGGGCCTTTCTACCTGGGCCTCTGGGAGAACACAATAGAGGGAAGAGCCCTGATCACCAAGATTGTTCTGAAAACTATTAGAAATGTAAAAGTAGCCCTTCTTAGACCATTTAGCACAGCTCACATAAGGGAATTGATAAATACTGGTGTGGTTGGCTTAGGAATTATCGGTGTTAAAAATAATGCCCAGGGCTGGGGATGTGGCTCAAGCGGTAGCGCGCTCGTCTGGCATGCGTGTGACCCGGGTTCAATCCTCAGCACCACATACCAACAAAGATGTTGTGTCCGCCGAGAACTAAAAAAAATAAAATAATAAAAATTCTCTCTCTCTCTCTCTCTCTCTCTCTCTCTCTCTCTCCTCTCTCACTCTCTCTAAAAAAAAAAAAAAAAAAAAAAATAATGCCCATATTTATTATGAGAGCAGGGTTCTCAGCCAACAGCCATCTAACATTTTCACTATATTTCCCTGCTTAAGCCCCTGTGTATGTTAATCCACATGTCACAAGATTGTACCCAAAAACATGCGTGCAAAAAAGAACTGATTGCAATACTACTACCTTGTCCCAAATCTGGATCGTGTTGCATTGATAAGAAAACAGCCCACTTGGCCTGATTGAGCCAGGCCAAATTTAGAACAAACAAATATATTAATTGTCCCCGCTTACAAATTACCAAACTACTTTGTAATTAGTCTGTTCTTTTTTTAAATATTTATTTTTTAGTTTTAGGTGGACACAATATCTTTATTTTACATTTATGTAGTTCTGAGGCCATGCATGCTAGGCGAGCACTCTACCACTGAGCCACAACCCCAGCCCCATAACTATTCTATTCTTAACATGAACAAAAGATATTTTAAAAGTTCGTATTTAATTATAAACTCTTAAAAAATTAGTAATTTTACCACATTAAATACATTTGGGTGAAGAGGATATATTTTTAATCTCTTCCTTGGGTTGGGTAGAGAAAAGTGACTTTGTTTTCTCTTTGAATCGGGGATTCTCATGGGGTGATTTTGTTCCTCCTTCTGCCCATCTAGTGATATCTGGAGGCATTTTTAAAAAATTGTCATTACTGGATGGCTTGACACTACCATCGTCTTATGGGTATTGCACAGGGATGCTCCAAAACATTCTGCAGTGCACAAAATCATCCCTTGCGACAAAGGCTTATCCAGCCAAAAATGTCACTAGTGCTGAGGTTGAAAACCCTGCTATAAACTATTAGGTTTATTTTCTGACCTTTACAAAGTATCAACTTTTATTTGGTTTATCCACGGATCCACGAGGTGAAATTAATACTGATAATAATTTCTTTGTGTTCTGTCTCTGGCTTTGATACTCTGACCAAGTTTGGGACAAATTCTTGTCACGTGTGAAAGGCCTAAATTCGGACAGTTTCCAGCAGAAGTATTTGAACTATGCTGTCAGTGATAACAGGGATGGAAGGAAGAGCTTCCTCCATGTGGTAGTAAGCCCATGGGGTTGTACAAGGGCCAAAGAGAAGTGCAACGTGGAACCCTATTGTTCAGAGTGTGCTTCCGCAGCCAGCAGAAGCTGCATCACCTGAAGCCTGACAGAATGCAGACTCCTGGCCTCCCCTCAGACTGACTCAATCAGAGTCTGATTTTAGAAAGATCCCCTGTGTAATGCTTGTGCATGTCAAAGTTAGAGAAGCAAGACTAAGTACTTCTAATTTTGCAGGAAAATATACCTTGCTTCAAATCATGGCTCTGCTCTTACTTGCCATATGACTTGACTCAATTACAAACTCTCTTAGTTATTTGGGCTGCGAAATGGGGATAATAATGTCACCTATTTCATGAGAATCAGATAAGCTTATTTGTGTCAAGGACTTCTCTCTCAACAAACTGTAGCTAATGATTGACACTCAGGAGGAGAAAGTAAACAGGAAGGATGGAACTAGAGGAAGGAGGGCTGATGAAGAGAACCCTTGTTCATCAATAGGGTTGAAAAGGGAAGAGGATTTCCTGGTTGGCTGCACCTGATGGTCAGTGGGGCTCCCCCTCTGTTAATGTGCACAGGCCCCGGTGCTCCTGCACTTGCACTAAAGCCCAACCTGGTGCTGCTCTCTGCTGCCTTACTACCTGCCCTCATCAGGCAGGACTTCTCACAAGTTCCTTTTTTGAAACAGTCCTTTGCAAGTCAGTGGTAGTGTAACTGCTTCCTGTATGAGAGAAAGCAGAACTTTAATCATAATGCATGTGTAGCAGAGATGTTAAGAGGGGAAAGAAAAAAGAAAGGAAAAGACTTCAAGCTGCAGAATAAGAGTACTGACAGAGTTCCTTTTAAATAACAATTAATTTAAACATGTTCAGTAATGACTAATCTGAAGTATGTATTGGCGGGGGTATGATTTGTTTTTAAGTATTTTGCAGGAGGACACTTTTTCAACTTATTTTAATCAAAATAGATTTGCACTATTTTCCTTTAAGTATAAAAGTGTCTATTGTTACACATTTAGAAAATTCAGGAAATAATAACAACATGCCAAAACCCAGGACCTGTTTACCTCTTCCTTCATGCAGTACTTATTTATGTATCACCTGCTGGTACTCAGTGCTCAGCTGCTATGCTCAGTGATGAGCAAACCATTGTTCAAGGAAGGAAAATTCTAGCTACCTTTCTTTTCAATATTTTTATAATTAAGTAAGTAAAATTTCAGTGCATTTCTTTTCATCATTTTTTCTGTGCCCTTAATATGTAAGACAATCATAACAGCTAATATTTATTGCATTCTTGCTGTGTGTTGGACTCTGTTCTAGGTGTTTTGTAACTTATGTATTAATTCAGTCGCTTTATTGCTGCTCTGAGACATTTGACTGTTCTTTCCACTTCACAGGTCAGGAAGTTGAGGCATCTTAGAGAGCTTAAGTAGCTTGCTAAATATCACACAGTCAATAAATGGCAGAGTCTTGATGAATATTCAGTCAGCCTGGCTCCAGAGCCTCCCCTGTTAATCACTAAACTGTGCTGCCTTTCACATTATTTATAGAAGAGATGATACTTGTATTAACCAGCAAGAAAATACCCCCAACTTAATGAAGGTAAATGGTTTATTTAACTCATAGTTTGGGAGGTTCAAGCCCATTATGGGCTAGAACCTCATTGGTTTGGACCTCTATTGAGGGCACTGGATACCAGTGGCAGGAGTATGCTTAGGTAGGGTGAGAGGTCACATCTTGAGCCAGGAAGCAAAGAGAGGGCAGAGACCAGGATCTAAAATTCTCTTTGGAGGGCACAGCCCCAGTGACCTCAGGGGGTCTCCATAGGTCCCACCTCTTAAATGTCCATGAACTTTTAATACCACTATCCTGGAGACCAAGCCTTTATGTATAGGTCTTTGGGAAGTTATACCCAAACCATAGCAACACTATATAGAAAATTTTGATTTGCACTTTTTCGTTGAATATTACACACAAACATCCTTTCTCTTATAATGGGATAAACTTTCTAGTTATTTCTAAAGGAAGTAGAATTTTTATTTAAAAAGATCATAATGAAATAGGAATGTATGACGCTCTTTAATCTAGAGCTGCACATTTGACTGCTTACAGAGATCATAAAGAATTTTTATTTAGTGTTTATATTTTTTAATCCAGTAATATTAAAAAGAGTTAAGATGGTCAGGTTACTTTAAGAAATTAAACATTTTGTACTCTTGTTTGATCTCATAGATTTCATTAAGGAAAACAAGTCCAACTTTAGATAAGGATAGCGGTCAATGTTGATGACTATTATGGAAATTACGATGTGGAATGGTATTGGAGCTATTAACTAGAAGAGCTTGTAGGTTTGTGTTATGGGTGGTTGAGAGGCTCAGGCTGCCTGTGAAGGTTTTTCATGGTGTGTGTTGTGACCATGGTTTTATTTGCAAAGATTCAGTTTACACAGCGTGTTAAGTCCCGTGAGATCCAGTTATACAGGAACCTCTGCTGGTCTTCATAGCTAGGGTCACAGTGAGAGGGTGGGACATTCTCTGTACATATCTATGTGGTATTTGTGAGTTATGACAACAGTGTGTGCCAGCAGTGTATTTTCTACAGGTGAGAAAGGTACAGATTTATAAAAGGTAAATAGATTTAAACTAATATATGGACATTTAAAAACCCACAACACAGGGAAACATTGAGTGGGAGGAATATCAAGCAGATAGGCTCTGAGCTAAGCAGATATGGGATGGAATCCTGTCTACCCGTTTATTCCTTATATAAACTTGAGTAAGTTACTTGGCCTTTCTGACCTTAGTTTCCTTGTTAGGCTAATACTGCTTTCTGGATTTGTCATCAGGATTAAATGAGTCTGTGTGAAAATGCCTGGCACAATGCCCAGCCTAGATGATCCGTTAATGGTCACTGTTTTTGTTGACTATTAAACATGTTTTCATGTTCATTCAGAATACATAGTCATATAACATAGTGTGAATTCATATGGAAGCCAGGATGCTTGGATTCCAATCTAGGCTTTGCTACTTTCTGGGTTTGTGATAACTAAGCAAGTTACTTAATTCCCTGTGCCTTAGTTTGCTTTAAAAAACAAAAAAACTGTATAGAGTGCTTGTGTCTTAGGGTGATTGTGTTAAATGATTATACATACAGTCCTTAGAGCATGGTATAAAGTAACCACTATAAGAATATTTGCTGTTATTATCAGTAGTGCTGTTATTCAATAACTTCTTTAGAATATAATATTACACCTTAAAACTTATGTTTAAACTACAGCAGCTTTTGCTTACATTTTGATATGTCAGTGTTTCATGTTTTTGCTCAGACTTACATAAATTTTAAATTTGGTGATGTCGTTATGTTTTATGTAAATGAGAAGAATTTGCTGATTGGGCACTATGTTTGAATACACATAAATTTTTTGTTGTTGCTAAAAAATTACCATTCTGGTATGTCTTCTTTCCTCCCCAGATTATTCAGAGCTGGGAGAGCTTCCCCCACGGTCTCCTTTAGAACCAGTATGTGAAGATGGACCCTTTGGCCCTGTACCAGAGGAAAAGAAGAGGACATCACGGGAGCTTCGTGAGCTGTGGAAAAAGGCTATTCTGCAACAGATACTGCTTCTCAGAATGGAAAAGGAAAATCAGAAGCTACAAGGTTGGTTTGCCATATTGAAATTGAACAGGCCTGATGATCTTAATTCATTGTGTACTAAAGTGAATCACATCAGTCATAAGCATGCATTCTTAAAAAAACAACAAAAAAATAATTTAACATGCATTTCAATCATATGTTTACCTTTTCAAAGTAATGTCAACACTGTTTACCTTCTAGAGATTTAAAGTAGTCCCCCAACTATACTAATTGTTCCTAGGTGGTCATTATTAGCATAGTGTCTAGAACTTCTGAGATACAAGTTGCAGTTTAAGCTCAAACCTCTGAAAGGTATATTTTGTTTTGTTTTCCTCTGTCTTCCTACTTTATCCTCAGCCAGGGTCTCTACCTGGGTGTTATGTATAGACTGATTCTATGGAAGTCCTTAAAGTTTGTAACCTTACCCTGTGCCTTTTTCACTGAGTTGCAAGTAACTTGAAAAAACATGAGCTGAGCCTTGTCTGTGCTGATACCAACAGTATCAAAATAGGACAAAGATATGAAAGTTAAGATTTTGTTCATTTTCTGTTTCTACACTGATGCTTAAACCAATAAATACCATTTTCTGAATAGCTTAAGAAGCTAAGTGTACATGGCTTGTGGAAAGAGAGCTGCCTGGATGTAAATTAATGAAGATTTTAGGAAGTCTGAACATAAATTTCAAAGGGAAACAGTAGCAGGGGTTCTGTCATGTTACCATTGCCTGAAGGAGTCTTAGAAGGAGAGTACGTTTCATTGAGCATTACCCTGGATTGCAGATTTTTGTCTTTTTATCTTTTTTTTTTTTAAGATCTTTTTTAAAAGATGAACAGACACAACATCTTTATTTATTTTATTTATTTTTATGTGGTGCTGAAGATCGAACCCAGTGCCTCACATATGCGAGGCAAACTCTCTGCCACTGAACTATAACCCCTAATCTTGACCTTGGTGTTTGAATAGAGTTAAAAGTCATTTTGATACCAAAGCTATTATAAAACTCCTCATGAATGCATTGTATCTCATATGAGTTCCAGTTGTATAGAAACCTCTGCTCCTCTTCGCAGCTGGTGTCATGAATGATGCATAGGAAGTGAGCATATCCAGAAGATATTTTTGAGTTACAACACTGTGTACTTGCAGCACAGTTTCTATGGTTGAGAACTGTACAGATTGGTGAATATAACAAATGAAGAGTTAAGATAGGCATATCATTTTGACCGAAAAGAATAAGAGAAATATAAAATAATAAGACCCTTTGATATGAAATAATCCAATGATTCAAATAGCTGCTTTCAAGTGAAACCAGCTCTCTAGTGTGCAGTATTGAAGTTGAGAGAGATGAGTCATCCCATCAAGAAGCTGTGGAAGGCATTGGCACAGGGAAGGCAGTGTAGTGTAGGTGAGTGCTGAGTTTTTTTCCAACTTTATTTTTCTACCATTTTCTGTGTGTTCTTGAAGGTAATTCTATAAGCAGGTATCTAAAAAAACATTTGATAAATGTCTCAGCTTTTTAGCTGCTGTGACTGAAAGACCTGACCAGAACAACTGTAGAGGAGGAAAAGTTTATTTAAGGACTCATGGTTTCAGAGGTCTCAGTCCATATACAGCTAATCTATCGTGGCAGAAGAGTATAGCAGAGGGAAGGAGCTCACTGATGATCAGGAAGCAGAGAGAGAGAGAGGTCTCCACTTGCCAGATACAAATATATACCCTACAGCCATGCCCCAAAGCCCCACCTCCTTCAGCCACACCCCACCTGCCTTCACTTACCACTCAGTTAATCCCAGCAGAGAAAATACACTGATTAGGTTAAGGTTATAACCCAATCATTTCTCCTCCAAGCCTTCTTTCATTATCTCACACGTGAGCTTTTGGAGGACCCCACATCTAAAGAGATGGACATGGCGCTACTAAGTATGTCATTAGTTAAGTGAAAGCTTTGGAGCACAGTATTTTTTATTATGTTTATATTGGGCTTTTTGGAGCCCGAGACAAGAGGATCTCAAGTTCAAAGCCAGCCTCAGCAAAAGCAAGGCGCTAAGCAACTCAGTGAGACCCTGTCTCTAAATAAAATACAAAATAGGGCTGAGTATGTGGCTCAGTGGTTGAGTGCCCTTGAATTCAATCCCCAGTACCCCCCMCCCCCTAAAAAAAAAAAAGGCAGTTACATTCCCCATGTGGTCAGGATGCTTAACGGTCTGTTGGCCAACCTTCTTGCAAATGACAGTCATGTAAAATCAGGGCAGAGCTACAGAAGGGGAAAGATGCTGGATGACTTCTTTAGAACATTAGGAGAAATTGTGACTGTAAGTGATGAGGTGAGTCTAGCACCTCACAAGAGCAGAGTGTGTGCTGCTGTGCCAGTGATGACTGAGCAGACTAGGAAGAGCAGGTGGGCATTTGCTGGGTTACCTGGAACATCTTGCCAGGTGTTGCATAAGTCACTGGCCCTTGCCAGCATCTTTCTACTGCTTCCTTGTTCCATCGGGCTTTTTGGCAGTGTTTAGTTCTTATGGCCTTTTATTTTTATTAATTGAATTTGTTTTTCTTTGTAGCTCTATTATTGTTTGACATATATTTATCTTTGTGGTCAAATCATGATCAACTTGCTGAATATAGATCAACTTGCTATATTATTCTCTACAGTCCCTGTATTTCTGAGAAAAATAATCAGCAATAACAGACTGATTGCTGGAAAATATTAATGAGTTTTTTGTGGGGTTATTTGGGAGTGCAGCTAGAACTATTATTCCGTCACACACAAGAGCAAGATTTAACAACCAGTTGGAGAGTGTACTATGTACTGGAGAGACCATCATTCTGTGATGATATTTTCTTCATTTGCTTCTTAAAAGAAGGTTAAATTGCATCTCTTGAAATTGATCAAGGGTTCAAGCTGACTTGGATGCTGTTTGGATAAGAAATTAAAAGGGTATGCATGAGAAAGTTGCTCCTCTGGTTAAGCCAGTTTCCTGACTTTTGACTGCAGAGATCAAATGTCTGTTGCTTCTGGAGGCATTGCATCCTGGAAGGGATCAAACCACATCACTGAAATCTACCTCACGCCCTTGTAGGCTCTTGGCAGCTAAACTTGTCATTTCCTCAAAGTTACACAGCTAATTTGTGGTGTTGTTAGGACTAAAATGTATCACCTTTCTCAAGCTAGCAGTCTTCCATTGAATCTCTCTGCAAGGTTTTTGTTTGTGCAAGGCTGCGAATGGAGCCCATGGTTTCCCACATGCTAGGCAAGTGGAAACTACTGAACTACATCCCTTTCCCTTTTTATTTTGTTAAAAGTCCTTGCTAAGTTGCCCAGGCTGGCCTTGAACTTGTGATCTTCTGCACTCAGCCATCAGAGTACCTGGGATTATAGGCATGAACCATTTCACCTGGCACCCCACCACCACTACCACCACCTACTTTTAAATACAGACGCGAACATCCTAATGCAGGACAGCAGAATGTACTTTAGTGTAACCATGATTTGGGGTCAGCATGTTGTTGCTTGTCAGATTAATTCATATAGCTGCATTTTATGCTTAATTAAGATTAAATGTTAATCATTATTGCATCTCCATATGATGTGATAATATTAAATTTCCAGTTGCAGGTAAAGGTATTTTGATTTACAAAAGCTTTTTCCCTAAATGATGCATATTTGTTGTGAAAAATGAATTAAATTCTTAGTGTAGTTCTCCTAAAATCTCTGTAAGAGTGGAGGTTATATAATTACTGAGCCACTTAGCTTTCTGCTTCAAAGTTTTCAAGAGATTGTAGCAGTTGGCTAGAGGGTGTTGCCTGTGAAAGCAGTTGATCAAGAGCAGAATGGAGGATGGGACAGCATGGTGGGCCTTCACCAGACCTGACCTTTAGTCACAAAAGTCCAAGTTAGTTTCTGTATCCATGTTATATGGTAACAGATGTTTAGACAACTCATGCAGGATTGCATTTGATTTCATTTAATTATGACTCCCCAGATATGTTAGGATTCGGCAACAAAGGATGGGACTTGGGACAACAGCAAGATACCCAGAATTAGCCTTTGCAGTTTAGTCCTCAGGCCAGCTCTCCCTGGCTGTGTGAGGTTCTGTGGACTTCAGAGCAAGTTTGTTGCTTAGTGTGCTGGGCTATGTTGGGGTAACCAGATGTGGTGGCAGAATTTACTGCCAAAGAACCTGGGCCAACACTGAGACCCCAGTGCAAACCAGTCTCTGTTCAGCACAGTGAGTCCTGAACCTGATTTTGCTGCAAGTTAGTTCATCTCTAGTGAATTTATTGTGTTTTCTCATACCTAAAACAACTTAAGGTTGACATTTTTTTTAAAGTGTGAATTTCAGAGATGTAAATTTAATAGGGCCTAGAAAAAATATTTTTCAAAATAAAAGGACCAAGTAAAGATGGTAGATGAAAAGTCCTTCAAGTTAAGAGGACAGGCAGAATTGGCCTGAAAGCACTCAGCTCCTGGAGCTGGTGAACAACCCTGGGCAAATCATTTAATCTTATGACCTTCAGTTTCTACCCCCTGAAATGAGAGATCAGACTGTAGAATCAATTTAATTGTCAGAAGTTTTCCTTTATTGATTCTCCCCTTCCAATTTGGTAATTTAGGTCTAATTCTTCTTACTACAGTTTTAGACTGGATGGGTTTGGTGGAGCACAGCAGTTCTCTTCATGTACATGAGGAAGTGTTGGATTACAGGAGTGGAATTCTGGTTAGCTTCAAGAAACAGAAACAAGACAACCATAGATGCTAGGTAATAGAGGCTTGGCTCTGAATAAGGAGGAACTACCCTTAGAGATCTCCTCCCTGTGTAGATGAAAAAAAAGAGGTTGCATTCTAACCATGCCACACACTGGGAATTTGAACACATAGCTCTTGCTTTTGACATGTTTATAATTTCATAGAAGCTTCGAAAATGAAAAGAATTGAACAGAGGTGGAATTTATCTTACAATAGGACCAACAGGACACACTGGGAGTAAAAGGATAAGAGAAATCAAAGGTACTTCCTGCGTTTTAGTGTTTCCAGGACAAGGAAGATGGGTGATTTATCCTTACCTATTCAGCAGCTGTTTCTGGTCCATCTCTTGGTAGCTGAGAGCAGCGGCCATGTGGGTATGTTGTCCATAGCTGTGGTGTCCACTAACCTGCTCTCACCTGGTTGCTTCCAGCCTCTGAGAATGACTTGCTGAACAAGCGCCTGAAGCTCGATTATGAAGAAATCACTCCTTGTCTTAAAGAAGTAACTACAGTGTGGGAAAAGATGCTTAGCACTCCAGGAAGATCAAAAATTAAATTTGATATGGAAAAAATGCACTCGGCAGTTGGACAAGGTAAGCTTATGTGGAATCGGCTAGCCAGCCTCACCCTTGCTGATGACTGGGAGAAGTGTGGAATAAAGACATGTTCAAGTCCAATGTTAATGGCCATCTGTTTTCTTTTTATCACATTGTTACCTACTCTATTTCTTGATATCTTAATTGATGTGAGTTTCATTATCTTTCATAACTTCTTAAATTAATTATTCCCAGAAAGCATGAAGACATTGTAGAAAAATCCAGGGGTTTACTTGCCTATAAATTGCATAATGATCTAATGAAATACTCTGAGTTAAATGGTACACTAAGGACTAATTGTGTGGTACTCCCCAAGTACTCTAGGGAGACCACAGTGTATAGTACACAGACCTCACTACTTTAGGTGACTCTAGAGTTGGATCCCAGTCCTTCCACTATGCAGTGTGATCTTAGGCAAAGCCTTAAACTCTCTGAGACCCATTGAAACACCCATGGCATGCATAGCATGTTTCTGCTATCCCATAAGGCCTCGGAGAGTAGCTGTATGGTCTAGTGTCTCAGTGGGATCTGTCAGTCTGACCTCTTACTGGTCCATGAAGAGGTAAGTACAGAACTTGATGTTAAGCATTTGGAAATGTTTCCAGCAATTTAACACAGTGACCCTCATTAAAAAAAAAAAAAAAAATGTAGACATACATTTTGTCATTTTGTTTCTCTTGTTTTGTCTTCTACTAATCCATTTTTACTGTGTAATAGAAACATCAGTCTGCAATGGATTAGAAAATTTTTAAACTAAAAAACTGATCTTTCAAAGATAGTTTGAGAAGTATCATTTTAGAGCTTACTTTCAGTAAATGTTTGCGTTCAAGTGAAATTATTTCTTTTACAAAGGCATATGCTGGCCAGAGTGGAAGCCTTCTGAGTACTGTCTACATCTGGTTCTACTGAGTTCAAATGGACCTAGTCCTGAGTGGCCAGATGTTGGGAATAAGGGTTGCACACAGGGATTTATACCTATGTTTCTATGTACTCTATGTATGTATCTATACTTATGTATGCCTGTGGTTTTTTCTGACTTTATCTTCATGCAGAGGAAGCACGTTACATATATTTGTTCATTACTAAGAGAGTGGAACAAAGCAGTTTTTGAACCATTGTCTTTTAGGCATTTTAAAACCTTCCACTGAATTTTGACAGCGTCTGTTTAGTGATCCTGTGTAGTTATTGCTGGTTGCCACTTTCCCCTTACCATGGATAAGGACCCTTAGGTTTAGAACAGCTGATTATGATGGCTAAACATCCACAGAATGGTCACTTTGTGGGCTCCTGGGGTTCTGACACCCACACTGCCTTGGCTATACTGTTCTCAGAAGCCAGGAATGTGTGCACAGGTGAGGACTTAGGGTCTGGATTGGTGGAAGCTTCCATTTTTGACCTTTGGCAGGTGTCCTTACCTTTCTGGGATCCTGCCTCCTCCCTGGTAGCACGAGAGGTTTGGACCAAGCAGAGGACCTTAGGGCTATCTTATAGTTCTGACATTTGTAACTGTCATGGCTGTTGAAGGTATACACCTCCACCTGGTTACACCAGGTGGCCCCTGACAGCTGTTTCAAAAGAGGAGGAAAGAACACTTCTGTTCTTGGTGGTATTGCTTCTGCAGAAGGCCTTGTGTGTTCTGTGGCAGCTGTTCAGATGTTGGAGTTTCTCAGCACCTGGGCATTGGTTTCTCATTGTGTGTTTTAGAAGGAGACCAAGAGAAACACTCTAGGAACCTGGGCCCTAATTGGTGAAGTCTGGCAGGGATGCTGGACAGTGTACATTCCAAGATGAGCTGAAGCTCACACCTCAATGTGATGACCCTGACTTCATCACATTGCTTTGATTCACAAGCCATCCTTCTTATGGTTTCAGGGACTTCATCAATCAGTCAGCTTCAACATATTAAAACTGAACGATTCCAAACAAATGACCGCTGTCCATCTGTGGAATTTAATTTAAAAATAAAAATAAATAAAATTTTTATTTTATTTTATTAAAAAAACAATAAATTACTTTATAAGATAAATAAAATAAAAATACATACATAGAGTACATAGAAACATAGGTATAAATCCCTGGGTGCAACCCTGATTTCCAACAGCTGGCCACTCAGGACTAGGTCCATTTGAACTCAGTAGAACCAAATGTAGCCATGTGACAGAAATAAAGAAATTCATAAAATTTTCCTAAGTTGAGATTAGATGGAAGTGGCAGGATTGAGGAGCTAGCAAGGGAGAATAGAAAATAATTCTGTGGAATTTCAGGTAATTCAGAATTTAGTTTTGGCCAGAATGATTTCTCTAAATATTTCTAAATATAAACCTTAAAAAGCTGGGACATATTTTCCTAGGAATGGAATTGCAAATTGGCTACCTGAGTAATTAGAAATATCAACCAGATGGAAACTCTGTGTAGCTTTGACCCAGCAGTGCCATTTAGAAAAACTTATTCTAGAAATCAGTCAGTCAAAAAACTATTGTATGCAAGCATGCTTATTATGATATTGTGACACTGTTTAATAGCTAGACCCAGAAGAATCCAGTCATGACCATTCTATGTCATACTCCTTGAAAATGATAGAGTAGATGTCTATTTACTGATATAAAATATGTTTGGGACAGGTTGTTCAGTGAGAAAAAAATATATAGTACAGTGTGGTCTTGTGCAGTTAATATTTCCATAGCAAATACATGGAGAAGCATCCTTGTGTTTGCAGATATCTGGGTTATAGGCAGGGTGACATGCCCCCCGGTTCACCAGCACAGTCCTGGTTTCCAGCTCTTGTCTTGGAATCAGTAGCCTTCCTCCTTCACCTTCAGAAGTTCCTGTTTTGGATGGTAAATTATATATTCACTCTAGTTGTGAGTGATTTTTCACTTTCTTCTTTATGTCTTCTGCATTTTCATCCTTCCCCCTATCCCAGTGAGCATATGATACAATTCAAAAATAAAAAGTTATTTACATGAAAGGTGGAGGAATGGCCTCCTGCCCACCCAAAACCCTGCCTATAGGCCATGGAGAGCTCCACCACCAGGTCTCTCTATTGAGTTAGGAGAAAAGCACAACTGAGCTCATAGGGCACTCCAGGCCATTCTTAGCAAAAATGTTGGGTCCAATTTGCATGACCCTTTGCATTGATAAATCAGAGAATCTAAACTAACTCTTGAATCCCAGCATATCTGGTACTCCCTAGTGACACATCCAGTATTCTCTTCCTCCAAAAAAACAAATTTCTGATAAGATAATGGGAATGATTTAGTAATAAGAGGAAATTATTATAAGAGGACATCTCATAACTTGGGAATATTTTCCATTTTGCCTGAGAATGTTCTCTAAAGAAAGCCCCACTATAAATCACTTACCATGCTGGCTGTTTTCCTGCTCATGTTTGCTTCTAGTCTGAGTCTGAAGTTAGAGTGGTGTGTGTTTTATCCAAGACTGAATGGGTAGGGAAGCAGAGAAGAAATGGCACCACATTAAATAGCAGATATCAGGATTTCCTAGTTCTATGTAACAAATTATTACAACTTTGCTGCCTAAAACAACGGAAATTTTTCTTCACAGTTCTGGAGGTCCAAAGTCAAGGTGTCAGTGGGACTGCACTCAGCCCCTTCCCGCTGCTGCTGGCTGCCAGCTTCCTGAGTGTGTCCACATCCTCTGCCTCTTCCACAGTCACGCTGGCTCCCTCCTCCTCCATCTTCTCCTTTGTGTGTTATACCAATACTTGTCACTGGATTTAGGGCCCACCTGGATGATCCAGAGTGATCTCCTCAATCCAGGATCCTTATTTAATTAAATCTGCAAAGACCCTTTTCCCACATAAGAAAAAAAATAGGCTCCAAGGATTAGGAAGTGGACATACACTTTTTGGGGGAGGCATCATTCAATTTACTGCACAGAATCATCAGATTAATGCTGGGATAAACATTAGAGAAGGCATGGGATGTAGTCAGTTAAATGGGACCGATGTTTCTCCCAAAAGCCAATTTTTTAAAAACAATTCATAGATGTAAAAGAAGAAACAAAGTACTTACTACACCTGAAGCATTTCCAAAAGGTGCCTGCAGCAACTCAAAACCCTTAAGAATCCCTCTCTCATTTGTTTTTCATCCTTTTCCTTCATTCTTAAGGTTTGGCTTATTAAGTGATGGATTCCGTGAAACCTGCAATGCTCTGGTAGCAGTGAGCCAGCTGTCCTTCATCTGAGCTCTGCCTCACTTGGGTTCTGTCCCTTTTATGTGATCACAGTTCGTTCTGTGTTTTGTCATGCTTGCCTAATAATAACCCTAACATTATTAATTGGCATCAGGTTGGGGCTTGTGTCATATTCATTGGTTTAATCCCTCGCAGTGTCTAACAGTCCCAGCATAGAACGTTTTAGAAAGGTGAAAGGAGCAAAGCGAGTTGGCCTATCCAACAGCTTGAGAGCTGAGGCAGGAGGATCACAAGTTCAAAGCCAGCCTCAGCAACTTAGTGAGACCCTATCTCAAGATAAAAAATAGAAAGGAGTTATGGCTTACTGGTTAAGCACCCTGGGTTCAATTCCCAGCACCACCCCCCAAAAAAAAAAAACAAAAAAAAAAAAACAGAAAGGTGAAAAGAAACAGGGACAGGGCTGGGGAAGTGAGGGGAGAATGGGGGGTTTGTTGGAAAGGAAGCAGGGAACAAATTTGGGGTTGTTTTCCTCCCCTTGCTGGGCTGAGAATTCATAATGCAGAAAGAAGTTGGTTCAGTGAAATGAAACACAGCTCATTTTTATTGTTAACTTGTGTTCTGTTCATAAATTGTGCCTTTATACTTTCTGCCTTCCCCCAAAGGTGTGCCTCGTCATCACCGGGGTGAAATCTGGAAATTTCTAGCAGAGCAGTTCCACCTTAAACATCCGTTTCCCAGTAAACAGCAACCAAAGGATGTGCCCTACAAAGAGCTCCTAAAGCAGCTAACCTCCCAGCAGCACGCCATTCTTATTGACCTCGGTGAGTCTGAACTATCGACTGCAGATGGAAATGGATGGCTCCCTCCCTTGAAAAATCTGAAGAGACTGTTCAAGTTATTTAGTGATCTGCCTTTAGGTTGAGCAATCAAAGTTTACGACTGAGACTTTTAATTTAAAAAGCCCTAGAGTAATCACAAATGTCCTCTTCAAGTATATAAAAATCTCTGTTTTTACTGGCAGCTCGCTTCTTCTGCTTGGTGGGGGTATTCATTAAGGCCGTTCATTAGGTCATAACTGTAGTTTACGCGGTAATTCAGGTATCGATAGGACGTTTTTATAGTCAGCTGAAGGAACATCCTGGGAAACATACAGACTTGGTTTAATTACAGGAGCTGCTCCCTCGTCTTTACTGCTCATTTGGAAAAATTGTAGGAAGCCTAGAGTGTGTGTGTGCATGATGTCTGCATTTGGGATGATTTTATTTTGAAAATGGGTTGACACCTTATCTCTTGACCAGTTTTAAAAACATGAAGATAGAAACAATGTATCAGATATATGTGTAGTTGCTGTAATGGAGACATGGCTGAACTGGGACTTCATGGTGTGTACAAAGGACCCTCTGACTGTCTGGAGCCCTGCAGGGGTTGCAGTGGCCCTGTGTCCTCTTGCCTGCTGCCCTTTATAAGGACCGGGTCTTCTCTGGTGGGCAACAGGCTCCAGAGTAGGAACTTGTCATGCTGCCAGTAGAGCACCTGGCCCTGCTTCCAAGACCTGTCCTGATTGCCCCCTGCGCAGTCTCCCCAGCGGCCCTGTCAACGTGAGGATGCGTATAGCCCAGCAACCCTGATGGACGTGGCAAGAGGCAGAGAAAATATGTGGCATCAGGCCGTAGCAAGACTGTCAGTTTTCTAACCTTAAATGTTATCTTTCAGAAACTGTCCCTGGCTGTGGCCTCTTCTCCACATGCAGCCTGGACTAGGTGCTTCTGCCAAGCCCTTCCACCCCACCCCATGCTCTTTCCCTTGAAGCTTATCACATTTGGTATTCATAGTGTGTTATTATTTGAAGAATACTTACCAGTACTTTGGGCTGAATGTTGTGTAAGGGTAATCTACTTGAGTTAGTCCTCATAACACTGTCACAGATATTGTTGAGAAATTTGAAACAGAGGTTAAGCGACTTGTTCAAAACGACACAGCCCACTTTCTGCGAAGCAGTATGGTGTCAGAACCCATGCTCTTGACTGTCCCACCTGACAGGTCCCCCCCGCCCCCCGTAGGATACAGCCCTCTGTAGTCTGGACTTGGCTATTTCACCAGCATACCTTCCACTCTTAGGATAGTGCCTGTCACATTGTAGATGCTTAGTGACTGAGACTAGACCTGTATATATCCTTATGAGGAATGAGGAACCTGAAGCACAGAGACGTTAGAGTCACCTCAGCAGAGGTGCCAGGACCTAAATCCATGTTAACTCTGTTGTACAGTAAGGCCCACCTCCTGAAGGCCCCTGAGCCCAGAAGCTCTGTGGATTGTGATGCTGGGAGGCTGTGACAAGCCTTGGTGGCTGGAGCCCGTTTGGCCCACTGACCCCAGGGATAGCAGTTTTGTGAGTTGGCAGTAGCCATGCTGCTAATATGATGACTAACAGAGAAAATGACATCATGTTCCTATCATGTGAAATGAAGTGAAAAATAAATTCAGGGTGGGAAGTTGAACGGGAGTACAGAGAGTTCCTCCCGTCCCGTTGTACTCCTTCGTGGACGGGAGGAGGGAGCATTTTCCTCTTTGTTCCTCTTCCACAGGCAGAATCTCCCTCCGCCTTGTGTCGCTCGGATGTCATCACTTTTCTGTAAGGGAGGAGACAGTGCAGATCAGCCCCAGAGCCACATTCTGGCCAGGCCTCCCACACCCGACCAGGTGGCCTCTCTGCTGAGGCTGGCAGAGCCTGGCTACACTATATCCTCTGTCCTTTCCCATCTTTAGCCTCTACCTTCTGTGCCCCAGAGGCCAGCTGCATCATCCCCTGCCCTCCAGTGCTGACCCCTCTCCTCACCTCTTACCCAAACCTGACCTAGCCTCCATTTTCAATACCCCCCAGACACCCTCCCAAAGTCCTAAAAGAAGCACAATGTATTTTCCAACTCACTTTGTGAAGTTATCCAGGGACCCTCCCAGGGTCAGCTCCTCTCCCCCACTTGACTCTGAGAAGCCTGAATGTTGGCCCAGACCCAGCAGCGGACTCCTCTTACCTCTCACTGAGACCATGTTGTGCCCAGTCAGATGCTGAGTGTGCACTTCCTGTTTCACCTACACCATGGCCACCTGGGGGCCATATAGGCGAGTAGTACAGAGTGAAGTCAATCAATCCTGCATTTCGAAAGTGGCATCCCTATGCTGGCCAGAACAGGGACTTGTTGGTTTGATGTATTTTTTTTAATTCTTTTTTTTATTATTAGTTGTTCAAAACATTACAAAGCTCTTGACATATCATATTTTATACATTTGATTCAAGCAGATTATGAACTCCCATTTTTACCCCGTATACATATTGCAGATTCACACCGGTTCCACATCCACTTTTTTACATACTGCCATACTAGTGTCTGTTGTATTCTGCTGCCCTTCCTATCCTCTACTATCCCCCCTCTCCTCCCATCTTCTCTCCCTACCCCATCTACTGTAATTCATTTCTCTCGATTTTTTTCCCCTTTGGTTTTTAATGATTTTTTTCTTCCCCTGCTTCTTGCTTTACTTTCTGAAATTGGCTTTTAGTTTAATGAGAATTTTGTTAAGATTTACATCTCCAAAGAGTAAGAATAATAGACCTTATAGTTAGGTGGTGTTTCATAGTTTGTGAAGTGTTTCCTCATGCTTGGTCAGGTTTCTTCTTTATGCAGCACTGTATGGAACTGGGCATGTTAGTTCCATTTTAGAGAAGATGAATGAGGCCCTGAGGATTGAGTGCTATGCCCAAGCCACAGGCTGCTCAGTGGCTTCTATGTCCTGCCCCTTCTGGGATACCTGTTGCTTCTTCTCTGTCCCCTCCATCCCTACATGTGAACCCAGGAGGAAATGACTGCTCTAGTGGCTTGGCAGGTGACACTTGGCAGGTCACTCAGGAACTTTCCCACTCTTTATGCCTGGTTCCAGCTACACCCATTGTCCAGGATTCAGATGACCCTGACCTTTCTCCTCTCTAGTCTCTGACTCTCTGTTCGGGGTGGATGACATGGACCACCAAGCATTCTTAGCTGGGGCTTCTACTCCCATCATACCCACATTGGGGGCTGCAGGTGACACTGAGCAACTCCCTGGAGCCTCTTCTCAGGCTCACTTTTTCTGCTCCCTTCCTGGAATGCCTTCAGCAGGTAGCTACTTCCACCTGGTAATGCTGTCTGGCCTCTCCTGTGAGAGGAGGGATTTACGTGGAAGAACCCTTGACAGTCCAGAGACATAGAATCCCTGCTAAGGCAGAGAGCAGGGTGGGAACTCATCTCCCACATCACTTCTTAATTAATGTTTAATTAATGTGTTATAGGTCAGTAAAGTGGTGCACTGGGTAGGGCCTGTGAGGGTCTGATGAATCTCTGTGCCCAGAAGTGGCATTTTGAATGGGCTTCTAGATACCCTGCACCAGTCAGATGAACTCAGGCTGCCCATGCTGCCAGAGTGACACAGTACACGTGTCAAGGATATACTTGGGTCAAGACTGCAGCCTAGGACCTGTCGTGCTTTAACTTCCACTTGGTGTGTGTGTGTGTGTGTGTGTGTGTTGCTGGGGATTGAACCCAGGGCCTTGTGCATGTGAGGCAAACACTCTACCAACTGAACTATATCCCCAGTCCTCCCCCCACTTATGTATTTTAACCAGAGATTTAAAACCTGCCTGTTGTCTGGAAGAAAAGGAACTGGTCCAAGTGTTGAGAAAGAATTTTTCCTTGCCTTTTTAGAATCCATAGAAGTGAAAGAATAGTGGACTTCCAACAATGAGGCTGTCAGTTGAGGGTGTTAATGGTGACCTCACATAAGGAACAGCGAGTGTCTCCCTTCCCCTTGCCTGGCTAGTGCTGGCAGTACTGTGCCACATCTATTGCTGGTCCTTGCTGACAGGTGCAGTGGGAGTACTGCCTTTTCTTTCATATTTGGGTTGGAGTCTGGTAATAGAAACTAAAAACTTCCATGCTAAAAGCCAGAGAAGGGCCTAAAATTTTATCTGCAGCGGTCTTAGTAAGTACTTACCTGTCTGTCCAGTCCAGGCCTCTGCTCTGTGGAGGTCAGCTGAACAGTCACAGTCTCAGTCTAATAAATTCCTGTACCAGCAGCTGCCTGCACTATTCTAGCATATGCTGTAATTTCTGATATCATTGAGGTTACATCATGAAATCATATTTGGTCATTCAAATGTGCCCTGTAACCTCAGAGTGATATTACTAAAGGCGGGTTATAAAAGGTAAGTGAAATGGGGTGTGATTTCATTTCCTGTTAGAGGTCTGTACTCTTCCCGCTCCCCTCAGTTGTGCATGTGCTAACAACCAGTTCTTCCCGCCACCCTGCCAAAAGAAGCCCTCCTGTTAAGTATTTGCAGATTTCCATGGTGTCAAGACGCTACCACCACCAAAAGTTCTCTATAGGTTTAATGCAATGCCAATCAAAATCCCAATGGCATTTCTTGTAGAAATAGATAAAGCAATCATGTAATTCATATGGAAAAATAAAAGACCCAGAATAGCAAAAGCAATTCTAAACAGGAAGTGTGAATCAGGCAGCATAGCGATACCAGATTTCAAACTATATTACAGAGCAATAGTAACAAAAACAGCATGGTACTGGTACCAAAATAGGCGGGTGGACAAATGGTACAGAATAGAGGACACAGAAACCAATCCACAAAATTACAACTATCTTATATTCGATAAAGGGGCTAAAAGCATGCAATGGAGGAAGGATAGCATCTTCAACAAATGGTGCTGTGAAAACTGGAAATCCATATGCAACAAAATGAATCAATCCCTTTCTCTCGCCATGCACAAAAGTTAAC